TATATATATATATATATATATTAGCCTATAAATGAATTACAATAAGTTTCCAGGTGAAATGTAGAACAAAAAGTAGAACTGCAAGATTTTTAGCGTTACTCAGCTGGAATTTTTATTATTTTTGTATCAAAATGAGATGATGAAATCTGAGGCTGTACTGTACAGTAGTTGCCCTCATACCAGGACACTTGTGAACTTGCCTTAATCCTGTTCAGTGGACAGAATGGTCTCCTTTACAGCATCTAACAACTGTGTACATACTGTATATCGGCTGTATTGTTACTGTATGTATACACTACTGTTAAAGCATATGTTCTTCCTGTCAGAAATAACACACATATGCCCAGTTTCTTGGAAAAGGATCGAGTCTGTTCTTAAACTGGGGATATTTTTTAGTGGAGATCTTAATTTAGCATTTGTATTTTTAATTTAAAGACAATGAGGCTTAATTCCTGGCTGAAAATATGGCACACACACACACAGCCAGATACAAACTGATACAAACTCTTACTTGCTACTGTTGGCGCTAGTTGCACAAACCAAAACATAAAGTGCTGGATCTTCTACGAGATTAATTGGAAAATTCTCCAGGCAAGCTGGCAGGTTCATAGCAAAGTGTACTGACAAGGTAGTAAAAACCAACTGATAAAGGACAAAAATGTACAGTCAGTGTGTTGTTTTTCAACCAGCATGCTTAATTAGGCTATTTTAAAAAAAAACACTGTGAAAATAGACAAAGCGTGTATATATACATACATAGAAAGTGGCAAAGACATGCTGTCCTGTTGGTGAATAAAGCAAATTAAAATAAGACCCTGTCTTATGTTAAATAAAGAGTTGCAGAAAAGTGTGTCCTGCTGCCCCACAATCATGCTACCATCTGCTACTGCTACTAGTATAGATGGGGACAAAACGACAATGCTCCAACATCTGTGGGCCCTTTGGCATGATAGATCTTGAGGGATTTCTTCCTGCCTGCATGGCTCTATAGATCTGAGAGGAATGGCGACAGGGATAAGCCAAATAATGGGAACTCAGCTTTGCCCTCGAGTTAGTCATGAATAGATTTTTCTGGAAGGCCATGCTTCTACCTCTCCCATTCCTGCAGATCTGGGAACTGGCTTAAGGCTGTTTTTTTTTTTAAGATTTCAAAACTGCTTCTCCTCTTTTTGACCTTGTCGTGTTCATGAAGGTGAAACCGCTCCACGCAGAGCGTAGATACTTATACATTGTACCAAATGAGAATATTGGTACAATGTACAAGTATCTAAAGGGTTGAACGTGTTTGGAATTAAATTTAGCCCATGTACAGAGGGATTGAGAGAATGTATGGTATTTTTTGTTGTGGATATAATGTGTAAAAAGAGATATAGATACTACATACAAAATGGTTATTACACTATGACTATTTTTTATCCTGTTTCAGTTGATGTTATATTTATCAAATGTTTTGACCCTGAATGAAGAGGCTGAAGCGGTTCTGTCCTGTCCTACCTCCAGCCCTGTTTCAGGAACAACAGGCCAGCTGTCTAAATGTCAACATGTTTGTCTGTCTGATGCATGGTTATATATTTTTGCTGTATGTTTATTTACTTAATAAAGATGGGTGTTGGGAAGTACATCGCGCTTGTTTTGCATTACTTATTTCAAGAACCTCAAACTGTTAAAGTCCCAGGAATGTCACAGCTTCCTCAACTGACTGTAGCCACTCCTGAATTCATTATTCAGCTCTGTGACCTTGCTTAAGCTTTATTTATCTCGTCCTAAATTCCTGGCATGCTTTTTTGTCGTCCTGTCAAAATTTCGAAGAGTGCAAAGGTTAGTGTTAGCCATGGAGCAGAGGTTAGCTGGGGAACACTGGAGTTGAGAGTTTTGTTTACATTTTGTTGTTTGTTTGTTTGTTTTGAGCCTGTCTTTTGCCATTGCTCAACTGTTTTTGTTCCTTTTAGGACAAGTTTCAAGAGTTGTATTGATTTAAAAGGCTCCTTTTAAAATCCAGTGACAGAGAGATTTTTCTAAAATTGCCATACTCAGAGGTGCAAGGAGAGTTTTCAGATCCTAGAAATATCTTTAATGATTTTGGCATTTATTTTCCCCAAAGATTCCTCTAAACTGTCTTAAACACTCAATGTGACACTGTTTGAACACTGAACAGATACCTACAGTATCACCATAATGGTTAATGAGAGGACTTGTGTGGTAAAAATGAACTGTTGCTTACCTGTTGAACACCAGAGAGGCAACACCATCTATAAAGATGTGTCAGTCCTGAAAAGGCCCTCTAACGCTCACCCAGGTTTCTGCCAACTTAAACTTTATTCTTTGGTCTTTTTCACCCTTTTGAGTCCATATTGTTTCATCCTCTCTAATTTGTATTGGCGTGATAGATAGAAAAGAAAGTAAAAACGACAGACTACAGCAAACAGCCATAGTTCTTGTCATTTAGCACATGGGCTGGAAAAAAAAAAGAATTAACCATTAGAATTTCCCTCAGTGGCAAACAGCGAAGCGTATTTTAGGGATTTTTTATACTACATACTGAATAAAGATCACAAGCATCGGCGTGCACTTCACCATTCTGTTGTTGACTGGCAGGATTTTGGAAGAACCTGGCAATGTTTTGACAGATGTCTGCGTATTTTTTTAGTTCTCTGGTTGTCTCTCTGTGATGCTCTAAGCCGTCAGTGTGAAAGGAAATGTCATATCAGAGCCAGTGAGAACAAAAAAGGCATACAGGGAAAGTGATGTGTATTCAGAATGTGGAATGAAAAAACACCACTGATTAGAAAATGCCCAAAGAGATTTATTTTCTTTTTGTTTTGTCAAAAATGTCAAGAACATGATGATGAAGTCCCTAGCTGTTTTTGGAGTGGAAAGCTGACTATAAAAGCATTAAGGTTGTGTGTGGGGCTAGACTGCCTTCTCATAGCCTACTACTTTAGATAAAACTCGTTATAGTTCACAATATTTCACTCTTTGAACTGTAAAGAAACTTTCTTTGATCTCATTCGCTGATTTCAAGATGTTAAAACAATGTTAGAGGGCCAAATATGAATAACATACTTACTGTAAGGTTTATACAATAGTCCCTGTTCTCGTGCCAGTGTCAGTTCATATCAGTAGGAATGAAGATGTGGGTGGTTTTCAAAACAATACAAAAGCATCGCAAGATACACAGTGTAAAAAAACCCTGTTTTTCACAGCCGTCAATAGACAGTAGATTAGCTGCCTTCCAGAATTTATTGCCAAGTGCTTATCATCTTATCCCAAGAGATTATGGGAGATAAAGTCTTGAAGATGAATGTGAACATGAGTTTTTAGTTTAATATAGTCCTCTCTTGGCCAAACTGCTACATATTATAAATTTGAAGTCTATATTTGCTTGTTCATTCCCAGTCCCTAGTGCCAGACCTTGATCTCCCCAGCCCAGTCGCAGGTGGCTGCAGTAGCAGGCAGGACGGGATGCTGAGACACACACAGGCAGGGCTGGCTGTGGGCGTGGAGGGTGTGCAGCAAACGAGCATTGTGGCAATCGTAGAAGTGAGCTGAGCCCGTGGAGCTTCCCGAGGCCAGAATAGTTCCATCTAGAGAAAACTCGCACTGCACCGCGTATCCCTCCACCTAGAACGAGGATATGTGTGTTAGTCGCGATGCATTAACCTTCCACCAAGAGCCATGTTAACATTAGCATAATAAAATGTCAGCATAACTGGATTGCGATCCAGTTGATTACAGACTTGAGCGAGCTAAATGTTAGAAAAGCATGATCAGAAAGTTGCTGATTCAATCTGTGAGGGGGAAGTGAAAGAGCAGTGCTTGCCTCTGCCTTATTATTACCAACAGGGTACCCTTGAGATAAGGCACTTAAACCTCCCACTGCTCCAGGTGAGTGTTTGTGAGTGAGTATGTGACTTTGGATCGGGCTGTTCCTGGAAAAAGGGATTCATGTTTTCATGTTTGGCTACTTTGGATTAGGGTTGGACAATATGGTAATATTTATTTCTATTTTAGACAATAGAAATGTGTGAACTGTTTCTACAGAGGGGCCCATCCCGTCTTTAACATCTCTTCACCAGATTAACAGACTTTTTATTTTAATAAACTGTTTCTCAATTGAATTACCAGGAAATATACTAAATCACGAACAGATATATATTGATAGGGAAATAGAAAACTACATAATTCAGGTAAAACTGATGAATTAAACCGACAGCAGTCTGTATAGAAATGAATACAATCTCCTTACTGTATTTAAAAATGTGACAGTATTGCAATAAAAGTGGCACCACATTCCCGTTGCTGGCTGTGATTAAAGGATAGCTTTGGATCTTTTAAAGTCTATATTACTGCAATACCCACAGGTCCGTGTGCAGTGTGTACTGAATATGTGTAAAAGGGTAAATTTGATGAATTAAAAATATATACATTTTGGAAGATAACCACTTGAGTTGTCTAACTCAGTATTCAGAGGCTAATTATTTGCTTAAGCTGAAGTCGAGAAAGTATTTTGGCACAGAAAAAGGACTGTGGATTTGTCTCTTATTGCTTACATTACATTAGAAACTAATTTGAAAGAGAAGGAACCAATATGGACAGGAGGAATTTCTACAGTACAACTACAACTACACCAATAACTTTCAATGTACATATGCACACGTGAGTACTGTATAAAGTTATACTAAAAGATCTGAACACATCCTTTGTTTGTATGCATTTTTGATCACAATAGCCAGTTGCTATCAAAAGATGACTGATGATGACTGTTGCTTTCAGGCTGCAATAAAGTATTGATAGTAAAGGTTGTGCGATACACTGCTTGCTAACACATGTACTCTGTTAGAAGTGTTTGCTTCAAAGTTTTATTTATAATAAAGAAAACATGAAAAGGGTTAAGAAATGAAATGTCTTTGTGTTTTCTGGAATGTTTGGTTTTGTTGTTGTTGTGTTTTGCACCTCAGGGCCACAAACGATAAAAAACAAAAAACAAAACAGGACCGTAAGATATCATTTTGTTTTCTGTCCATTTTAGGATTCTGGAATCAACAAACCAGACCCCACAGTATCGGTTCAATATGATTGCAGTGATATTTGACAGTTATATTCTGCTCTGTCTGTGTCCCTCAGTGGAAATATCGTACTGTATTTGATGCGTTTGTTTTGGGGGAGGGGTCTACAGGGGAAACACTGCAGGCTACAGATCCACTGTACATGCCATCTATGTGTTGTGTAGGTCACAATGAGTATTTCGTCTGCATGTATAGGTTTATTCCAGTGCCTTTGCAGAGTTTTGTGTGAATGTGGGATGCTGCTGAACTTGTGAGTGTACATTCTGAATTGATCTGCGCAACCCCCCAACCACCCTTGAGGCCACAGTTGTTACTGACCTTGTGTCCTTCGTATCGCCGCCTCTTGTTCATCCTATAGGGCTGCTGGGAGGAGAACACTGCCATGTAGTTCCCATTGGTCTGGGCAACAAAGGACTCTTCCAGTGGGTGGAGAGCCAGGCTGGGGCACGTGTACCGCTCCTGGTGGCCAAATGAATGGAGGGAAAAATCCGGAGGGGAAATTAATTTATTATTTGACCTTTTTTACTAACCATGAAGTCAGCTGCATGTCAACTAGACCATTAATTTGAGAAAGCCTGATGTGCAGTGGGTGGACAGAGTCGCTTCATCATATAATGCAGTCAATCTGGTACGGTCATATCGGATTTTAACAGAAATGTAAGCTTGTCCATCTGTTCCAGTATGAAGAGCAGTATGAATACTTTACAAGACTCCTGAGACTTCAACTTGCAGAAACACTGATTTAGGGATGAGAATTTATTCAATACAAAAAAAATACAAAGGTTATTAAAATCTCATTTTTAAAATAGGTGGCACTCAGTAAAGCGCACACTTCCACCAGCACCATGTAACTGTCAAAATATGCCAGTTCCACAGACCTCATTACCAACTTGTTTCACATCAGGGGGTTCACACATTTCCAGGAATGTAACCTTACATGGTAAATGTGATTTGCCTGTTAAACTCAAACTGCTTTTAAGCCTTTTAGCTGATAATTTCAACATCATGTGCCAATCAGAACTGCATTTATTCAGGGTTATTTTTTTCTCACACAGATGTCCTTACATGGTAGATCTGGTTGGAGACCTTGGCTGTGGTCTGGTAGTCCCAGGCGACCAGAGTGCGGTCGGCAGAGTCTCTGCTTACGCAGTCAGTGCTTGTTATAAAGTCCACACCACCTCTCAGAAACAAGATGTCCAAAGTCTGCTGGATCCCTGCTTTGTACATGTTCACCACCTGCAAACACACGCAAAAGTACCATCAAACCCTTTAAATTCATGTAGTGAGATGTGTAACTGACTAAACAGGTATCTAAACCACAATTGGTACATTTAATTCAGTTATAATTTCTTTTGGAGCCATCCATGACGCTTTTATAACACATTATGTTTCTAGTTTGAATACACAAAGTTCATGGCACTTAGCTCAGCAGAGCATTCAACAGGAAGGAGGGAAACATCTGGAACTCTGCCCTTAAGGCGGGATGACGACATGAAAACATGTCAGTGTGTCAGTAGTCCCGGCCTATAAAGACATATTGTCACTCACTTGCCCTGCTGGGCTAGATGACCCAGCACTGTTATTAGAACATACACATAGTAATCTGCTGTATTAGGGTAAAGCTGTGTCCTACAACGACATATATATTTATTGATATTTGAGTAAATAAAAACATACAAATGACAGGAACAGGAACAACAGGAACAATTTCAGGAACAATTACTACAGTTGACGTTAATGGCCTTGTAGATGTGGTTGTTTGTTGTCCCTGGTGGCTCACCTAGTGTGTGCCAGTGGTCTGGGTTCAATTCCAACCTGCAGCTCTTGCTATTTGTCAACCCCCCCNNCTCTACTTTTAATCTCGAGCCACTACAATCTAATAAAGGCAATAAAAGCCCAAAAATAATCTTAAAAAAAAAAAACTTTACATCCTCTTGAACACTGGCCTGGTTACAGACATCAGGAATGCTGCTCAGCACTTAATTTTCCATTAATTCAGTCTCATTATCAGGAGAAAAAAATGTGGGTTGAGATAAGATGATTTCAGATTTTAATCTTTGCCGACGGTATACCACTTTGCAAGCACTTAGCATCAATTAGTCAACTTACTGATTGGTCAATTGACATACAATCAGCAACTATTTTTTTATAATCAAGTCATCGTTTTCATAATTTTTTTAAGGAAAATAAGACAAACATTCTCTGGTTCCAGCTTCTCAAATGTGAGAATTTTAGGCTAAACACCAGTAAACCAATGAGAGAGGGTATCTATCGAATGGTCACAGTCAATTGTGAACTAGACAAGCGTTGAGTGAATGCCTTTCTCATTCTAAGAGAACATTTTCACAGTGCAATTGATCGGATTAGGTTTACTTTCAGAGCTACTCAGCAAACATCTAGCAGCTATACTCTACAGGGGAGAATTTAGAATTTAACCCCTAAACACAAGTTTAACTGCTCTCCTTCTACTTTGTAATTCAAACCAAACTTTTAACTCTTATTTGAGTTTTAATATAACATGGTAGAACAATCTCATGCATCCAGTTCAACTTAATGAGTCTGTTTGGAAAGACTTCAGGCTAATGGGTTAATGTGGGGTAATTTCAACCCAGAGCAACAATCACAGCCAAGGGCTATGACTGACAGGCAGCTGGGATGCTACAGCATTAGCAATCTATTTGCTGAAGACAGGTCTACGCTTACTCTGCAACTCACATTGACACCTACTGGCAGAAGCAATCTCTGCTGTATTAAATCTAAAACCCTGCAGGGAAACGAGTCAGTTTGCTGCAGGGAAAGAATTACATATAAGCACTCATATTCTGAGCAAGTGAATAGGATTATCATATAAAACAGTCCATTAAGCTTAATAGCAATATTAGGTTGCAGCTTCGCAGGAACGATTTACGAGTCCCGAATGAAATTAAAATTTGCTTTGAACAATTAGTGAGATAATCTGCAGTGTTACTCCAATGCATGCAGCAATATTATCCTTTTAGTGAAATATAGCATGGGCCATTGTGCCCGGCCAGTATTGAGTACCTTGTTTGCACCAGTGTGTAACTGTGGGTGTGTGGGAGGGAGCTCTGGATGAGGAGCATGTGTTCAAAGCCTACCTGCCTTAGATTTATTAAAGGTCAAATAACAGTCGGTGAACCAGAGTCAATAAAAATGATAAATCTACTCTAAGGAGGTTAATAAGTTTGACCTTGCAGCTGCGAGAGTCCCAGGCCTTGACCACTGAACTGTAACCTCCACACAGGAATACATCTGGGTTGCTGGGATGCAGGACCACACACATCACCTTGAACTGGTTGTTCAATTTCACCACCTGCTGCCCTACAGACAAGAAGAGAAAGGGAGAGAGAAGAACAATATTAACACATTTTTAAATAACCTCCAACAATAAATAACAACAATGACTCAATTAAACATAAAAATAACGTTTAGCAAGGTAATGGCAGAGGACCACTTATATTTACAACTCACCAACCACGTCCTTTAAATCACTTATATCTCCAGTACATTCTCTCCAGAGGTAAGGTAGTGGACAATAAAAGATATTTCTTTCATTATCTTCTGGATCCATGAAACAATACTTTGTCTATTAAGTGATGATTTATTTTCTGAGTATGATGCCTCCTCGGTTCTGAGGAACTAATTTCTGACCCCTCGCTGGTTTCTGTTCTCTGTGGGCCTTAACATTTCCAAAGCTGGCAAAGCAATCACCTTATTGCTGTTAAATCTCAACTCAGGAAGTATCACTCCTTCTGCTGCACACACACATCTGTCTGCACACAAAAAAACTCAGCATGAATGAGTGTATAAGTGTTGTTAAGCTCCTTTGATGTACTGTATGAATTTTGCAGAGCCAAACTAAGAGCAAGTGCATTTTATGTGTTTTTTCTATACATTCAAAAAAGACTATTAAACAAACTGTTTGTATGTGTATGCAGTATGTGCTACATTAAAAGTTTGATTAGATACTTTGTCTATCTCAGCTGTCAAGACTAAACTAAACACAACATACATTTTAACAACATTTCCCCTGAGATGCAAATTCTGCTTAAATTTCTCTTTGGTTTATTAATTGAGCTCGCTGCGAGGATCCAATCCTCCTTGTGAGGCGGCCATTAGATTCCTGCGCAGTAAAGTGTGTGTAATTAAATTGTGCCGTCGCCTTTGCTTATAAACAGTGATTCAAAAACAAGCCCACTGATAAAAGATACAGTAAATCTTGCTGTAAGTTGCTGCCAAAGATAGTGTTCCCAACACGGGGCCTTCTGAAATTCATGAAGGAATGATGTTAGAGTAAAAGGATGAGAGGCTTCCTGTGATCACCTCAGGTCAAAAGCAGGGTTGTTTACAGGGTACATCCATCAGTTTTTTATCACACGTCTTTCTGTCACAAAAGAAAAGCTTATAATAATCTCACACAAAACCATGTAAAGTTTCTTGTGATGAAATGAAACTTTTATCACTGGATGCCTCAGAACAATCCAACAACTGAACTGTCAGTCTCTAACTCATTTTAATGATGGTGGGTGACGGGACTGACTCTGAGATACTTACAGACAGCAGCACATCTAACATATCAGTCTCTATAAAGGGCTACTTGATTTAAACATGAGACAAAAACTAACAAAGACATAGTGATGAGAGTATGAAAAAAAGAAAGAATATAAAACACTGTTTTGGCCAGAGGCAGCTTTATCTAAATCAATTAAAAAATGTCATACTTAAAAACAAAACAAAAACACCAAGGGGCTTAAATATAATTAAGGCTGACAGGGTGCAACCAAAAATTAGTTTCTTGGGAAAATGATGAAGAAGGAGGACACGAGGAACTGAGCCAAACTATGAGCCAGCAGCTCTGTCAAAGGCTATGCAAAGTAGAACACCTCAGGGTTTAACGGCTCCTTATTAATTCAGCAAACAAACAACAAAGACCCCATCCAACATAGTCTTAGGCAGTTAGCCCACAACAAAAATGCACTTCATTACACACTTGTTCCAGGATATTCCCGCTGATTCTTTTTAGAAGGGGGAATGAGTCACAGCTAATAAACTGCAGCAAAAATGGACCTTCTTTCACTTAATGGAGGGCTAGCATGCTCCCAAATTCGATTGCATTGATCCAAAGTTTTAACAGGCAATTTCGTCGGGCTCACGCTTCCTGTTTAATTGGCTTACCCGCAGTGATACGGAGGAGATCTGTCATCGAGATTTAAAACTCATGTTTGGCAAGCGATGAGAAATCAACATTCTCCTCATAATAAATAGAGCCTCGTCATGTTTTAATTAAGGAAGATTAATTAGCCTGCTTGAGAGGGGAGATAAGGGAAGGCCGCAGCGATCTGTCGCTCCCTCACGATACTTTACTTTGTAGTCCTGAAAGAACTGTGATCGTGCTGTGGAGCTGACACACAGTGGATGACTATAGCTCAGAGGACATTAGGGATGATTGGGATGGTGGGGGTGAGCCCCTTAGAGTAGAGGGAAGCTGAGATGATATTCTGCCTCATTACCAGATCCACCAAAGCAGGGTGCTGTCACTGCAACATCAGCAAAGGTTATAAGCACATTACTTGGATTTGACAGCCATATCCCAAAAAATATTTTAGAAATAGGCATAATGAGCCACATTTGTAACTAGTTTGATGTTTTAAAAGATATTTCCCATCGCGAAAGTGGCTTAGCCCTGATAAATGAGAAGGTGAGGAATCTTAAAATAACTGAATCTAAATTCATTCAATCTTCATTTAGTATTAAGTATTTCATATGCTTCCTTCAAAACTGTACAGCGAGATTCAAGACTTACTGTGTCGCTATATAGCTTCTGATCCTGACACCAAAGATAATAAGGATTTACAACAAGTTAGAAAGCAAGTGTGAAAAACAACTGAAATCTAGCTTGACAAAAAGCCCAAACTTAGGTCACATGATAACAACTCAACTGTCTCTATGACAACTAAGCAACTCCATCTGCTGAGGATGGCCCCCGAGATGTGGAGGAGATGTGGAGGAAACACAAAGTAAGAAGACCTTGTGTTATTTCTTTTTAGTCAGGCTGCTGTTTGCAAGGACGAGAATGAACCTTTAAAACTCAACTGAAATCTAAGTCCAAAACAAACAAGGTGAGGAAGCGTCAAGCCTTCGGTATCTGAAAAGAGTCACATATTGCCACTGCAGCACGCATGCACAAGCACTAACCTCCTATGCAAAGGAAAATTGAGCTACATTTAGGAGGTGTTTATGCATTGTAACAGCAAATTTCCCTTGATAGTCAAGGCTTGAATCTGTTTCTGATCTTATAAATAAATGATCTGATAAACCAGCGTAAAAGGAGAGTACAAAGTCTGCATACTTGGATTTTGGTAAAAGCACAAGTGGGCAACAGTTATCTCTCTCGTTTCCCATCAAGGGTTGTTGATGACACAAGTGTTGCAAACTGCACTTAACATACTGCAGACATTCACTCAGGTATAAAGCATATTTCATTGAGGGGAGAGGGAGATGGGGCCCTCAAAAAATATTAAGTTGTAGGCAGCTCCACAACACCAAATGCTCAGACTTCTGTGGACACATTCCCCTACATGCTGGATGCTTTTAAATTATATGTAATTGTATGTAATACAGGAGTCTGTTTTTTCTGTCACATAACATGTAAAACCTGTGAATCTGGCAGGTTCCCGCTATAAAATGAAGCTTTCGAAGTAGGTCAAAATGTAGATAGCTTCTCTGTGTGTGTGCACTGTTGCATGCTTTGTCTCCTGGTGTGCAGTGCTTCAGGCTCCTGTGTTTATACAGGCACATTGTACTGGTTACCTCTCTAAACGTGTGAAGGAGGTGTTAACTGGAGGTAAAAAATTAAAAATATGGAAGAAAATATATTAATTGTACACAATTCATTTAGCCAGTATTTTTTTTTAAATAAATAAACAAACAAATATCCCTCCAAATAATTATTTGAAACCTTATAGAAAATTAGTATAGAATTCAAACATCTGGATCATTCAAACTAGGTTATGATCATATAAAGTGGCAGATGTAGGTTTTGAAAACAAAATTCCTAAAAGACTGAGATTGAGCACTTTTTCCACATGGATTACATGGTTGGCTCAGATATATACTGAGGTGTTACGATTTAAAAAAAAACTGTGGCATGACCCTGAGTCAGTGACTCATTATTTTGCCCTTGCACTACTGGCACAAACTCTAAATTGCCCAGAGGTGTGACTGTGAATGGTGTGAATGGTTGTCAGTCTCAATGTGTCAGCCCTGTGATTGACTGGCGACCTGTCCAAGGGGTACCCCACCTCTCGCACAGTGTCAGCTAGGATCGGCTCCAGCCCCTCTACAACCCTCTAAAGGATAAACAAGTATACAGTAGCTAATGAACGAACGGATGGACTACTAGCACATATAGCTCATTCATTAAAAAATAATGCAATAATGTGAACTCCGTCTTAGAATTGAACTGCTGTTGAAGCTTTTAGCTACATTCATCAAATATGATTCTGCACAGCCAGAGTGAGGTGGAAGGGCAACGCACAAGCCCACTCCAGTACTGGCACAGACAGCAAGGACGATTCTCCTTCCTGCCAGTGCCTGAAGGGATCTGGACAGAGAACTCAAGTTTTGCATACACATGCACAAACAGACATGTCAACCTGTGGCAGCTTGTGGGTAGGTGGGCATATTTTCCTCCGCCAGCCTCCGCCAATCAGCTTTTCCAAGGACAGGCGTGAAAGCTCTGGACAACAGCTGCCACTTCACACTAATGCCCTCCAGATGAAATTCATTTATTCCACTCCCCAGCTCCTGCTCTCTCTGTTTCTCTGTCTCTGAATTTATTCTGCCTCTTTTGATTTCTTTCCCTTGTGTTCTTCCTCTCCTGCCCCTTTATCTTTCTGCAGTATGCCTCTTAACCTGTTCTCCCTCCCTATATCCTCCTCTCCCTCCACTATTGCTATTCAGCTGTGATAGCCTGTCTGTGCCCACTGGGAGTGGATATAAGATTGTACAAATTAAATTGGACACAGGAACAACTGCAAAGATTGCCAAGGAAAATGGGCACACACACCATTCTGAATGCATAGGCTCCTGTATAATTCCATTTCTCTGTAAACATACCAACTGGTGCGGCATTTGGTTAGGTTATGCTGTGGTGAAATACGGGGTCAGGCATCCCTACAAGACACTCTGCTAATCATTAAAGGGCCTGCACACATCTCCAAAGAGAGCTCGGTTGAACAGCTGCCTCCGTTGTTAAGAGTTGAGAGGCTCTGCATTACGAGTGTTATTAAGAGTGTAAAGATCACATTTATCCTGATTACAGTCTGACGTGGAAAACACTCTCAGTATACCATCACTCGTGGTAGTGTTAACACTAATGCTGCATGAACGTTGGGAGCTTAGTTTGTTTTTTTAAATATCACTGTCAAATATATATATATATATATATATATATATCACACCTTGATGTAGCCCTGTTATGAGTCATATCTGTCAGAAATATAAACTATGAGGCAAATTATGTTTGCAGCTTGGCCTCTATGTGCTTTTCACAGCTTGAACACTGTATGATTGGTTTTAAAGTTTCAGTGCGGAGGTCTTAGCCGCAACGCATTCAAGTGCACTACAATTGTTCAGGAACTGGGGTGGAATTCCCAACTCCCATATTAATATGCAACTAAATTAAATTTTCTTCATTTCGTGCTGCCATGTGAATGCATGCTTATTGCTTATCGCGTCTGCGGACTACTCAACCTCAGAAACATTATGGGTTGTTCAATTTTCATACAAATAAATAATAGTGGTAAGAAAGTAAATAAGAATGATAAAATATTATTCAGAAACAGAGTGTTGCAGGATTGATGTGTGAGGGATCTTTGGATGTCTGACATTAATTTAAAGCTGTTAGTTTGACCCCACTGGGACATCATACGGAGCAGAGCAAGCCACCGGTGGCTACCAAAGTATTAGACCAAAATAAATGTTTGTCTATGGTTGTGGTTTGTGACGTTCCAGTGTAAGGTCATGGTGGCTGCTCCTGTGGTGATGTATCCATTATTGATCCCCTTCCTGGAGCTGCCTGTGTGTTTAATGGGTTGACCAAGCTATTATCCGTAGGCTTTATTGGCAGTATTGACAGACATGCTGAGAGGGGAAGTGCAAACGGCAGCAAGTCATCACAGCGATGTGTTGACCCAAGAGATGTAGTTGCCACAGGGGATTCAAAACAATGGCTATTGTATGTTGTCTTTGGGGTCTTTTCCTACATATATTAACACTACAACATATTCCATCAACTATTGGTGAATGGACAGAAGGGACAAATATAAGGAATCTTCTGATTTTAGGCAGAAATCAGATGTTTTCTACGAATTCTTACTAACATTTTTAATTTCAGCTGTGTAGACAATCATGAATTGTTTCATATGAATGAAATAAGTGAACTGCTGAACAAGCATATCTCCTTGTTTTGCATTGTCTGTATGAGTTGTTCTCATCTTTTCTGCCTTGCTTGTTAAATCCAAGCTCGGGCCAGAAAGCAAAGAGTTTCCGAAGCAAACCAAACTATTGATGCCTTGTAAATGTCACCTTGAAAAAAGTTTGTATGATCATACAAATGGGTTAAGAAATACAATGAGCCAGCGGATTTAGTTCAGAGCAAATTTTGCTGTAGGTAGACAAAGAATGTCAAAAAGTAATAATGTTTGTATTTTTTTAAGCATGTACTCTTTATGTCTGTGTATGTGAGATACAGGGGAGAGAGGGAGAGAGAGAGA